GTACTTCTGTATCAACTTTTTAACAAATCACCATGCAACACATGTGATCATGAGCTCTCACAACTATCCAGTCATTAAACCATCATTAGCACCATGGTCCCTTACCTCAACAGATCGCCAAAAAGAGACAGACAAAAGAACCAAATAAACGAAACACTACATTGTCGTTTGACCTTCATATTATCACTGCCATTCCCATCATCCATCAACTCTCTCCACAACCCAACCAAATTCCAAAATGAATAACAAGTTTTCCACAAGCCTACCCAAACCCAGCCCCCCTCCAACACTACCGTGGCCCACCTGATCCCCAGAATAACATTAAGCAACGTAAAACGTAATTGGCACTACTCAATGTCCACTACTAAATATTTATCCAAATACCTTGGCCCAAGGTGGGAGGCAAACATCGCCCAGTGGCTCCCCATCTTGTTTCACTCCAAAATGATAGGAGTTCGAATTAATGAGAAATTCTGGCATGTAAAAGAATTCAGGAATCAACTCCTTCACATCACTTGTATTAGATAGGCAATTTTTATACGTTCCCTCAATGCTTTGGAAAAGCCTGTCCGCATGGTCGAATTTACCACCCTGATCAAAGATGATGCAAGAAAACCAATTAAAAATTGAATAGGACAATGAATCAAGACTCAAACCAAATAAGCTGGGACCAAATTCAAGAACATTAGAACTTAACTACGTAGATCTACCTAAATAATTAAGCAAAATATCTTAAAATGCTGACTAGACATGTAACTGCCTGTTTTGACAACTATTTAATATAAGCACAAATGTGAAATAATCATAAACCATTAGAAGTGATGACAACATACCTGCAAATTACGATGGAGTGTTGTAAATGGCTCTAATCTAAGAAGATAAAAGAGCACAATTCCCATGCTTGAGTAATGCGAACCATAGTAGAAACTGTTTACAACACCCAAATTATTAGGAAGAACAAGACTAATCCAAATTTGAGGCTGACTTAATGTCACAAAACGTCATGCAGTAGAATTTCAATTACCTGGGAATATCAGGATCACAGAAATTCCGATACCTATCTTCAAAAACCTGCATAGGTCACAGAGAAGTAATTAAAAGAAGAAGATACTACACTATGATACTGAACTATTTGGTGTTGCAAAAACATCGAGTCATTGGCCAACCTCAAAGCGTTTGGGATCAAGAGCCCCAACGGGTTTTGATAGATCTCTAAAAGTCGAAGATTTGTTGAAATCAAGAGTCTCAGAGCAATAGTCAGCCAACACCCAAGGAAACACAGGGTACTGAGTTAAATCATTGTAAGACCTTCCTGCAAGGGTGTTCAAGATCATCAGATATTCAAAATTGGTTATTTCCCTTCTCCTCCAGCCTTCTCTAGCAGTTTCAGCCATTTCTTGTGCCACGCGTCTATCAACAAATGAAATAATTCCTGTCTTGTCCTTGTGTCCTTTTGGAAACATAGTTACATTCCTGGTTGCTACTATTAAACTCCCAACATGCTTTGCTTTGTTTTGGGATTCAAAATTCAAAAAAACTGGAGCAACAGAATCTTTAAAGAATATCTCAATTGCTGTATATCTGAGCAAATATCGAGTCCAATGGACAGCCTTAATCTACAATCAGAAACAAATACAATCGCAGTAATTGAGACTATAAGCAGAGCTAAATTTCAGATACAGAAAAGGTTAATTATTTAGTAAGTATAGTACCTTACAAATGTCCCACCTCCAATGGCGCTTAATATTTTTAAAATGCTTTTGAAGACCTCCATGGACTGAATTTATGCTATCACTGGCATTTCGTCTTTCAGAATCCAAATTAATAAAATTCTGCTTTTGCAATCCTAACTGTTCAGGCTTGCTTGGCTCAAAATTACCTGAAGAGTTGAGATTTGTAAATACAGATGAACCACCTGTACCTTCCACCAAAAACTCCCCAAAGAAATGCAAGAATTTTCTCATGATTGCCAAACGTCCAGCTAATTTCCTCTTTGGTGTTACAAGAACACAGGGGATAGACATGAGAACCTGAAAATCAATTCAAATATTAGAGCAGCAAATCTAAGCTTAACTCCTGCTTCATATATTCATTTCTTACCTCACTATTTTCTGATTCTGTTGATGATGGATACTCTTTTCTATCTTGCACATTTTCCTGCACACTACTATCTTTTTGCTTATCTGGATACTGTTGGTCTGAAGAATCATCAAAGTCCAAGACCTTTGGCCCACCAGATTCAGTCGTACTTTCAGTAGGCTCTGAGGACCCCTCTTCAGTAATTTTTTGAATTCCTTTTAGTAAGAATCGTTTCATTTGTTCTGGAATATTTGCCCCAAAACCAGATTTGCTATCATTTGTGGAAGGAAGAGCCTCGTTGCTAGGCATTGTGGAAGAAGGGTTACAAAGTTTTTCATCAAAATGATAATTTCGTCTTAATTTCTGTCTGCGACGCCATCCATCTTCTGATTTATCAAGCTTCCAATGTGTAATTGTGCTATTGGGGAAAGGATTAGCAGACCATGGACCCCTTTCATCCATCAGAGAGCGCAAGGTATGGATCCACTTTTCCTATTGAAGAACAAATTTGAACATTTGAATGTGAATATTGAAAGCTGTCATCAGAAAGAGAACACAACAAAGCAAACCGGGCAACAATTTATCAATTTACTTACTGCAACAATTTGCTGCTCCTCATCCTGAGAAAGCTGGTATAATGATCTTCTTCTATCATCTGAAGCAAGAATAATATTTAAACTACTTTGTATCTCATCTTCAAAAGCTTTCTTTTGGGTACACTCAATGCTGATATTTTCATCCATTCTAATCCGTAGCTCATGTAATTGCCTGGTTCGGTCTGTTGTTGTACCCTTTATATACTTAATTTCATCCGCAATCTGGAAGGCGTAACGCAAATATTCAATGTCCATATAACAGAAAACAACAAGAGAGACTAAAAAAGAATCAAATTAGAGAGTAATGTTAAATCTTAGTTCTTTAAGAGAGAAGGTAAATAGTACTATAAATAGTAATAAGAAATTTCTTTTTGACAGACAAAATCATAGGTGAAAGGAGTTCAATCAAAATTCTTTTTTTGTTCTTTTAAGTCATTCTTCACTGACTGCCAAGGATTAGTTACCTACCATCTTGTATGTTTCTATCTCATGCAACTGATAGCAAACATATTTCCATTTGAAGTACAACCAATAATATTTAGAAAATGGGATAGAGTAATTTTAGTACTCACCGCACTAAGAAGTCGATCCTTTTGGATTAGATTTCGAATAGAAGTTCCTTCTTTTGAGTTGCAGCTTGAATCAGACAGACCATCTCTATCCATGATACTCGTGGCTAGCATTGATTTCCCACAGTTAATTGTTTCTCTAATCAAGTGAGAAATAACATGGATTCGGGCACCATCATCAAGCATCCCATATTGGGACCGAACAGAAAGCAAGGCCCTACAGAAAATCAACAGAATAAAATAAAACATAACCATAATTCACAAAATGAGGTTTGGAAGATATAAAAGAAAAATACTGCTTGACAGTTAAACTGAGAGTACCAGATGAAAAGCTGCAGTCTGCTCTTGCTTTGGTCATCATCAGCAATGAGAAGGCAAGGCAGAAGAGGGATAACCTGCTGTACGCATTGAGATGCTCTTTCAAGAGACGATTTACAGAGATAGAGAACCATTAGTCTGTAAACGATTCTTGGGCATTTCTCCCCTCTTAACAGCATTGCCTTATCAACAGTTTTATTTGACTTTCCAACCAGTGCATTGCTAATAATTCCTCCTGGCACAACAACTGCAGCCATCTCTGCAGCAGGGATGTTCAGTGATTCTACCAATCCACGAGCTCTTTGGCTTAAAGATGGTACCACATTCGATAAAGATCTGGGTAACATTTTCCTAGGTCCCTTGTCATTCATCTCACTAACAATGATCCATAACTTGTCATATATATTCCACCACTGATCACCAACTTTTCCAACATCATTGAGGTCAGGCTGATTTGATGCCTGTGGACTACTTTAGAAAAAAATGGTGTGATATTAATATGAATAATGAGTAGACAGAATCAGTTATATCAGCAAACTGTTAACGTTTAAAATAAAGTTCGGAGTACCCAAATATGTAGTCAGCAGGGTCCCCTTGCAGGAGCTCAAATAAAGAAGAATTGAAGTCTTTGTAATTTTCCGATTCCAGGAACTCGGGAGGTAACTCAGAGCTGCTTGCAGGAAACTGTTAGCAGAGGACAAGAATTACTTAGATCAACAGAAGAATGGCGTCGGGAGGCTTACAAAATATGACTATGTTTTAGCTCTATTCTTATGTAAGTATCAACCAATTTAAGTTTGAACACAACTTCCAGTTCATCCACCTGAATGGATAGAAAACTTGCAAATATAAACTCAATATAAACGGTGATTTTTTTTTTTTTTTTTTTTTTTTTTTTTTTTTTA